AAGACACTCTCCATTGTTATTACTTATTCACCAGAATTTTGGTGGCTGTACATAGTTTTGTTCCTTCATCTTTAGTTCTTAGTTTGAAGAGAATCACAGATCTCTTTGACCATCTGATGAAAATGGAATCTGGGCGTGCTGGCTCAGCCTGTGGTTTCAGTTACTTCAGAGGATCACTTGAGCCCCCGAGTTTGAATCCAACCTGGGCAACCTAGCCAACCCTGTCTAAAAATTAAAAAATTAAAAAAAAAAGATGGACTCTCTCCAGAGAATTGCGAAGGCACACAAAAATGGAATAATTTTGAGGGGATGTACAGATCCCTACAGATCATGGACCCCAAGTTAAGAAGCTGTGGTACAAAAGAGACTATTCCTTGTTAGTTTTCTGACCTATAGCTAGCACAACATGGAAGCACATATTGCATGCTTCTAAGCTCTACTAATGTAGACTAAGAGTGGGTTCAGTACACAACCAATCAACTATCATCTAATTAAAAAAAAAAGTAGAAAAAAAAGAGTGGGTCGGCAGGCGCGGTGGCATCAGCTGTAATCCTAGCACTCTGGGAGGCGAGTGGTAGATCACTCAAGGTCAGGAGTTCAAGACCAGCCTGAGCAAGAGGGAGACCCTCTATACTTTGAAAATAGAAAGAAATTAGCTGGAAACTGAGATATATCATATAAAAAGATAGTCTCCAGTCACAGTGGTCGCTGAAAAAAATATAAATATAAGAAAAATTAAAAAAAAATCAGCCAGGCATCGGTGGTGCATGCTGTTCCAGCTACTTGGGAGGCTGAGAGGGACGCGTGAGCCAGGAGTCTGAGTTCTGTGAGCTGGCTGACCACGGCACTCACTCTAGCCTGGCAACAAGTGAGATCTGTCCTCAAAAAAGGAAAGGAGGACAGGAAGGCAAGGAAGGCAAAGGCAAAGGCAAAGGCAAAGGGAAGGGAAAGAAGGGAAGTAAAGGAAGGAGAAAAGGGGAAAGAAAGGAGAAGAAGAGGAAAGGAAAGGAGGAAAACAGGAAGAACGAAAGGAAAGAAGGAAGGAAAGGAAGGAAAGAAGGAAAGGAAAGAAAGGCGAAGGAAGGAAGAAAGAAGGAGAGAAAGAAAGAGAAGAGAGAAGAAGAAAGAACAAGAAAGAAGAAGGAGACGAAGGAGGGAAAAGGAGGGAGCGAGGAAGGAAGAAGGAAAGGAGAAGGAAGGAGGACAGAGAAGGAAGGATAGGAGGAGAAGAAAAAAGAGGAAAGAAGAGAAGGAGGAGAAGAGAAGGAGGAAGAAGGAAGGAGGGAAGGAAGGAGGAAGGAAGGAGGAGAGGAAGGAAGGAAGAAGAAAAGAAAGAAGAAGAAAGAAAGAAAGAAAGAAAGAAGAAGAAAGAAGAAAGAAAAAGAAGGAAGGGAGGGAGGGAGGAGGGAGAGGAAAGAGAAGAAGAAGAAGAAGAAAGGAAGAAGAAGAAGGAAGGAAGGAAGGAAGGGAAGAAGGAAGAAGGAAGAAGAAGAAAGAAAGAAAGAAAGAAAGAAAGAAAGAAAGAAAGAAAGAAAGAAAGAAAGAAAGAAAAAGAAAGAAAGGCTCCCGTTCAGTAGTTGGGGAGCAGGCCAAGAGTCCCCACTCGCCCGCAGCTCCCTGCCGGCGGCTGCCAGGGCCCGTTCGCGGAGCGCCCCGCCCCGCAGTGGAGGCGCCGGCTACCGCCCCAGCCCCCAGGGGCAGGGAAGGCCTTACAGCCAAGCCCGAGGCTCCCGGGCCCATCTAGGAGACCGGTCCGAGGCTGTGGGGAACAAGCAGGCGCCTGGCTTGCTCTAACTCGTGCACTCACCCACGGTTCGCTGACGGGTCTCCCCGCGCTTCGTGCCCGCCCGCAGACCCCGGGGAGGCGTACCGGGACTCGGTGCGCAGGAGGTTCCGGCTGATGCAGGACCGCAACGCGCGCCCGGGCGAGTGCGTCAACCTCAGCCGCCGCTACACCCGGCTGCTCCTGGTGAGGGAGCACTCCCACCCCACGCGGGCCCGGCAGAAGCTCCTGGACACGGGCCGGGGGCGCGCGCGAGCCGCGGCGCAGCAGGCCAGCCCCATCCGGCTGGAGACGCTCTTCGAGCCGGACGCCGAGCGCCCCGAGCCGCCGCGCACCGTGGTCTTGCAGGGCGCGGCGGGCATCGGGAAGTCCATGCTGGCGCGCAAGGTGATGCTGGACTGGGCCGACGGGAAGCTCTTCCGAGGCAGGTTTGACTACGTCTTCTACGTCAACTGCAGGGACATGAACCAGGGCGCCGAGCGCAGCGCGCGGGACCTGGTCGCCGGCTGCTGGCCCGAGCCCCGCGCGCCCCTGCACGAGCTGCTGCGGGTGCCCGAGCGCCTCCTCCTCATCATCGACGGCTTCGACGAGCTCGAGCCTTCTTTCCACGACGCCCAGGGACCCTGGTGCGCCTGCTGGGAGGAGAAACGGCCCGCGGAGCTTCTGCTCAGCAGCCTGATCGGGAGGAAGCTGCTCCCGGAGCTGTCCTTGCTCATCACCACGCGGCCCGCGGCGCTGGAGCAGCTCCACGGGCTGCTGGAGCAGCCCCGGTGCGTGGAGATCCTGGGCTTCTCGGAGGCCGAGCGGAAGGAGTACTTCCACAAGTACTTCCCCGACGCCCAGCAGGCGAGCCAAGCCTTCCACTTCGTCAGGGACAACGAGCCCCTCTTCACCATGTGCTTTGTCCCCATGGTGTGCTGGGTGGTTTGCACCTGCCTCAGGCAGCAGCTGGAGGGTGGCGGGCTTCTAAGGCAGGCGTGCAGGACCACCACAGCAGTGTACCTGCTCTACCTTCTGAGTCTGACGCCACCCGCGCCGGCCACCCGGTCGCTGCGAGGGCTGTGCTCCTTGGCCTGCGATGGCCTCTGGCATCAGAAGGTCCTGTTTGAGGAGCGGGACCTGGGGAGGCACGGCCTGCGTGGGGCGGAGGTCTCCGCCTTCCTCAACATGGACATCTTCCAGAAGGACATCAACTGCGAGAAGTACTACAGCTTCATCCACTTGAGTTTCCAGGAGTTCTTTGCGGCCATGCACTACGTCCTGGACGGCGCGGAGCGCGGGTCGGGCCCGGGCGGGACGGTGACCAGGCTGCTGGCGGAGTACGGGTTTGCAGAAAGGAGCTTCTTGGCACTCACCGTCCGCTTCCTGTTCGGACTCCTGAACGAGGAGACGCGGGGCTACCTGGAGAAGAGCCTCTCCTGGAAGGTGTCGCCTGGCATCAAGGCGGAGCTGCTGGGGTGGATCGAGAGCAAAGCGCAGAGCGAGGGCTCCACGCTGCAGCGCGGCTCCTTGGAGCTGTTCAGCTGCCTGCACGAGATCCAGGACGAGGAATTCATCCAGCGGGCCCTGAGCCCCTTCCGAGTGGTGGTGGTGAGCGACATCGCCTCCAGGATGGAGCACATGGTCTCCTCGTTCTGTGTGAAGAGCTGCAGGAACGTCCAGGTGCTGCACTTGCGTGGGGCAGCGCACCGCGCCCACGAGGACGACAGGGCGGGCGGGACTCTGGGAGCCCAGACGCCGTTGGCGCAGTCGTAAGTACCCGCTGGGGCTGGCTCTCCACCTGCACGCTCTTAGCCAGTGTTCCTCCACTAGGGGTGGTTTGCCCTCTCTCCCCAAAACACGTTTGGCAATATCGAAGGACATTCTTTGGTTGCCACACTGGGAAGCAGGGCCGTGGAGACTGACACCTGGTAGAGGCCAGGCGTTCTGCAAAACATCCTGCAATGGCCGGGCGCGGTGGCTCACGCCTGTAATCCTAGCACTCTGGGAGGCCAAGGCGGGCAGATTGCTCGAGGTCAGGAGTTCAAAACCAGCCTGATCAAGGGCAAGACCCTGTCTCTACTATAAATAGAAAGAAATTAATTGGCCAACCAAAAATATATACGCAAAAAGTTAGCCGGGCATGGGCCATGGCCTGTAGTCCCAGCTTACTCGGGAGGCTGAGGCAGGAGGATTGCTTGAGCCCAGGCCATGCGGATGGAACTGGTAAGGTTCTGAGGTTGTGTGGCCTGAGGGTGAAATCCACGCATCCCACTTACCGTGAACAAAGTGGAGACTCTTGTTCTCAAAAAAAAAAATCGGGGAGGGGAAGGGAATTAGCTGGACAACAAAAATATATAGAAAAAAATTAGCCGGGCATGGTGGCGCATGCCTGTAGTCCCAGCTACTCATGAGGCAGAGGCAGAGGATCACTTGAGCCCAGGAGTTTGAGGTTGCTGTGAGATAGGCTGATGCCACAACACTCTAGCCTGGACAACATAGTGAGATTCTGTCTCAAAAAAAAAAAAAAATCCTGCAATAATACACAGGACTGCCATGGCCCATTTACAGGATGGAGGATGAATACAGAACACAAAAGAAAAGCGCAGACACACGTAAAGACGATTACATGACTCAAGTGATAATACACCGGGTCAGTTTTATTTTTATACTCTAAAAAATTAAAGTTAGTTCCTTATACGTAACCACTAGGCATTGCAGCAATGGCCATAAATTCTGGAACACGTAGCCTAAGGACACAGATGTCCCCTGACTCAAGGTTTCCAGGTGGTTGCTCTAGGCGCCAGGCATAGATCACGGACTGAGATTAGCAAGGATGGGCAAGGCAGCCACAGTGGGCATTTCTCGTCCCCAGTTCCTCTTAGGCTGATGCCCGGCAGCTGTGCCTGGCTTAGGTCGCCCCTCCCTTCAGGGGTCTTACCCGTCATTGACTAACCAGCCATCTTATGGGGCTAAGCAGCAACACAGGAACAATGTGTTTATCGTGTGGCCTCTAGACACCCACTGCTGTGGGGCTGGGCAGTCTTGCTTACTTGCAGCTCAGGTCCTTTGTTGTGCCTCCGGCAACAACCTTGTTTGTCACAGGGACCCTGTCCGGAACACATTACTTTTAAATGCTCTGGGCAGAGCATGTACATTGCTAAATTTAATTCTTAGACCAGGAAAATATAATGTCAGTCCCCAACATAGGACTGTCCCCCACAGCTAAGAACAATATGGCCACAAAGTGTGAATAGTGCCATGATTTGAGAACCCCACTCTATGTTAAGGAGAATTAATTCAATCAACAAATATTATTGAAGCCAAGGCAGGAGGATAGCTTGAGCTCAGGAGACCAGCCTGAGGAACAGTGAGACCACGTCTCTACCAAAATGAAAAAGAAAACAAACAAACAAATATTTTTAAGTGCCTTATATCTGTGAACACAACACAGTGTGAAACAGCCAGCTGATGCTCCTAGCGGCATGAGTCCTAAAGAAAAGGGAGCTAAGGCCAGTCTCGATGGCTCACGCCTGTAATTCTAGCACTCTGGGAGGCTGAGGAGGGAGGATTGCTCAAGGTCAGGAATTCGAAACCAGCCTGAGCAAGAGCGAGACCCTGTATTTACTAAAAATAGAAAGAAATTAATTGATCAACTAAAAATACATAGAAGAAATTAGCCGAGCATGGTGGCGCATGCCTGTAGTCCCAGCTACTCAGGAGGCTGAGGCAGGAGGATCGCTTGAGCCCGGGAGTTTGAGGTTGCTGTGAGCTAGGCTGATGTCATGGCACTCTAGCCCG